AATATTAAAATGGGATAAAGTAAGTTTAACCATCATGTACTGCATCCACAAAATCAGAACGACATTGGAGGGAGCTTTTCTTTACAGTTTTTTACAGTAATTTATTTAATTCTCCCCTCCCTGTGGCGATGTAGAAGTGCAACCTGTTGTTGGGCATAGTTAAATGTTTAACAGGACATTTGCAAACCACAAATCCCAGTCATCAGTGATACTGCGTGTGGGTCCGTTGTAAAATACATGAGAGGGTAATGAAGAACAGATTGGCTGCCTGTAAACCTATTTTTCTGATAATATAACTCAATGAAGAAATTATTAAAATAAGATAAAGTACGTTAACCAACATGTGCTGCAACAAACACACCAGAACGTTTTTTTTTTTGCGATATTTTTCTCCAGGAGGTGTGACATGTTTGGTCTGAGACAAATTAACTGGCCAGTTGTGACAATAAAAATGAGCGCCTCCGGTCCTAACAATACAACACTTTATTGTGAATATATATTTGCACAATAATCAACACCATATTATAAACAACTTTTCTTTTCCTTCATTTTCTCTTTTATACAGTAAATAGTATCAGTGTACAAATTTTACAAAAAGTATTCAGGCTAATCAAGTTCCACAAAAGAGTAATTTATGTGCAATAATAAAGCACAATCAGATCGGAGGTACACGCACATGCCTGCACATTGACACAGGACCCCCAGGTAAAAACACAAGTCAATACGCAACTTTGATAGACAGGCATAACCTGAATATTCAACCAGGTCATCATGAAGGCGAGGTGGAGAGGACTCAACTTTGTTTAAATAGCTAAAGAAGAAAAACAAACACTACAGTGTGACTTTATGTCTTGTTATGGTGATGTAAGGCAATGTGAAATTACCACCTCTAGTAGTGTAATCTCAAAGTTCTCTCCAACAGGCCCTGATGCTGATCGTAGCGCTCAAACACAGAACAAGCTCATCCCATGACAGCTTTACGACCCTGAGCCTTCAACGTCTGCTTCACAGCACTTATAGAGCAAAACGAAGAAAGAAACGAGCATAAGGAGAACAGCAAGGAGATGATAACAATGAAATAGTATTTCGATATGATGATCTCGTTCACAAGTCGTCCTGGATCCTGAGACTGGTGATCCAGAAACAGAAACAGGACCAATAGAGTGTTGTTTTGGAATACAAAGCTCAAGTTTGGTTTAGGTTTGTTTCGACCACGGAGAGAAACACTATTCCCATAATCCCAAATACTGGTTGTTCCTACTGCTGCCGGGCCACATTTAAATTAAATTTAAACAATTGCAGTAGATTTGGCCCTCATCTCATAACGTATTACTGCAAAGGCTACCTTCTTTGTTACACTGAAGCAAACCGTATCAAAGAAGCTTACACGGTAACAATAAAACTGTTGTGATTCAGTTATCCGACTGTTTGAGCTACTGTGCAGGCACTAGGGATTGATGCATCAGATTGAAGACAACCAAAGCTGTCGGACCGAGTACAGACACAACAATATTAATCCACATTATCCCACTTACGTTTCGGCAAAGTTTTACTATGTCAATCTATTTAAAACAGCCAACATTGTAGCTTGAACTGGAGTGTGTATTCGCGGGTCCTTGGTTCTGTGTGGAGCTTTGGTGTCAGAGTCCTGGTGTCTTCTTTAGCTCTGTACTGAATACAACTGCTACAGTACAACGGGGCACTAGTCCTAAAACATTAGTACAAAATAATTAGATAATACAGTACAGTACATTTAAAAAACACTTCAACCAAGAAATACTCTTTGTAGTTGCACTGGTTGATAAATAATAATTAATCGCAGCATTATGATTCATACGTATACTAAGCAAAAAACAATATCGACAATTTCACAAATCAACGCTGTCAGTGAAGAAGAATGTCATGTACATCCTGGATGGCATAGCTGGAGTGTTCTGGCCTCTTATGGGATGAGATGATCAGTGTGTGGTGTGGTGTGTGGTGTGTGTGTGTGTGCGCGCCCGCGTGTGTGTGTATAGGGGTCATGAGGTTTGTGAAGCTGTGATGAACCACAGCAGTAGTTGGAGTCCAAGCATCGGCCAAAGACACAGGCTTAGGCTGGTCCCTCCGCCGCAGTCAGAATCATCTTCCTGTTGGACAAATCAGCGGTCAATCAATCAGATACACTTCTCCTACGTCCTGTAGCTGCACTCAAGCTACAAACATCAACAATAACAGTAACTTTGATTGAATATAATACTATGAATATATTCAATTTCACTGTGTTGCAATATTGTATTCCTAACTCGACCTGTTATTTTAAAAGGCACAGTTCAACCATTTAATAGACGTGCTTATTCAGTCTCATATTCAATAAACGATGTTTTACGTGCACATGTGTGGTACGTGCAAGCCCCCGGCTCAAATCTTTGTGGCATTTTTGAATTTGATGGGCGTGTTCAGGATATCCGTGCATGCCAAAGGCCTAGGAGCAAGAGGTGGGAGTCTTCCATATTCAAAGGGCAGGAAAGCCACGCTCCTACAAGGAGCTGAGACAAAGTAATGGGACAGATAGAAAAAGGAAAATGGATGTGGCCTACTTTTACTACTGTTCAGTGACTTCACCCGGCCATTCCTCCCCTTCCCTTTGCTCCCCGGCATAGATTTTCCACAGTGTAAACATGCAGGCATATGAATTAGTGGCCCATTATGTGTGTGATCTACGTCTTTAGAAGCCTAATGGGAGGCTCAGTTCACATTCAAGTGCTTCGCCCCAAATATTTAGATGCCTATTAAACAAGTTGGGTGGAAAAACAAGGATCTCACACAAGTTATCCACCTTGCTTCTGGCTTTATAGTGCTTTTCACATACAAAAGTCACAAAGTGCAAAGTGCAAAAGGAGGAACATTGCTAACATTAAACGCCATTTGAAACAAGTGAAAATATGTTAAGCCTAGATTTTTTATATTTAACAGACTCAAAAGCAACTAGCATGCAACTCCCCATATTGATCGAATTTCCCAAAATTGGAAATTCTGACGTGATGCATGGGATCCGATAGCCGACCTGCATTGATCAAACCACAAATAAATGCATTCATTTTGTCTAAAAAGAGGTTATCGACAAAATGATTGACCAATCGGATGTCTAAGACTCAAAGGGAGTGAAGCAGTGTAAGGGGACTAAGCCTGAACTCAGCACCAGAAACAACAAAAGGGGTGAAGGACTCAATGCAGAACATCTGCTGATTGGGCACAAGGGTTTATTACCAGACCAGAGCAGCAGCCATTGGTATGTAGAACCATAAAAGAAAAGAATGATATATGAAGAATGAAAAGATCATGAAAAGCAAGATAAAATATTGAATGACAATTGTATAAAACATTCAGAAAATAATATAATATTTATTCACTGATGAAGTAACTGAATAAATAAATAAAGGATAGATTAGAGTGAAAAATGATTTGGTGCGTTGAATCTCTGCCGAAGGCTGATGAAACCAAATAGAAATACAACGCAGTGAAACCTCACTAACAATGCTGTCTCAAGCAATTTGAGGAACATGTCTGGGTGTGTCTTACATCTTCATTGTGTCGAAGCACACATCCGGCCCTTTGCGGTATCTGGGATTTTGAGCAAGCTCACATGGATCTGGACCTTCAGCTGAAGATATTCTCAGGAAAAAGCTTTCTACCATCAGCAATCCACATTTAACAATCTAAAAGGAAACCATTCAATTAACATAGAAGAGAAAGTAAAGGCAGTCCTTGAAATAAATATACATGATACTGTGATGAGCAGATTGTAATGTCTGTCTTTGTCTTCCCCCCTACATACAGTATAAACACCTGGAACGGACCTCCAGAGGTTTGGCACAACAGAGAAATGTTAAGGGGAAGTAGCGTGAGGCCTTCAAATGTCGTGCCCCTGGTTTACCGTCACCTGTGAACATTCAGGGGAGACCTACTACAAACTCTTTAGGTGTGCGTCCTTGAGTCTAAAGCTCTGCCTGCCGTCAGGGGGTCGGACGGACGGAGGGCTGGAAAGCGAAAAAAAGCATGTTTGATTTTTACGAGCTAAGTGAAAAGATACAGGGTTGTTCCGCCTGGCGCAGCGGCCTGGGGTCACATGACAGACACGTTGCCTTGGCATCGGTGATCAGGAATACTAGGTTGGTCTTTGGCAGCTTCTCAGCACGATACATCCTAGAAAGCACAACATGCATATACTGGTAAACATTGAATTGAAAATGTGAGGGATATCGTGCTCCAAAAACCTAAAAAAAATCTAGTTTTGTATACAAATGATCTACAAGATATCTAGCGCATACAGCGTTTCAATCTATGCGTACACAAAGGTATGTGTGCTCAGACGTGCACATATATATGTGCATTCATAGGTATTTTCTCCTCTTGGATTTGGCTTTTTTATGGTAGTACTGAAGGTTTCTGTGTCTACAGCCGTTGACATCGGGGGATAAAGCAGCAGACACGTGGGACTCGTAACATCAGTAATCACAGACATATTTAACCCTCTCCGGCGGCTAATACTGACACAGAGGGAGGGTAGAGAAAAGTGGATGTGCAGTGGTCTGTGAATGTGTATTAGAGAGTTTGAAGTAAAGCCAGAGAGTGAAGGAAGAAAAACAGATAAAAACAGATATTGTGCATCCCTCTGCAAATCCGGTCAGTGACACGTCAAGGTGAAGCGTCTTATCCGAACTCATCCGAAAAAAATCTGACTGGGAAACAAAACCAGGCCAGGAAACTAACACTATTCTGAAGCCGTCCCTGCAGACCAGTAAACTGGAGGATATTCAGAGAGAAGAGATGGAAAATCCTAAATTACCCAAAACATTTGCAGAGTCACTGAAAAGTGAACACGTTGAGGTAAACACCTGATGAACCCCTACGTACCTGGAACAGTTTCCACAGTCGAGGACGCCTGAGTAGGATGTTTTCATTATTGTCAAAGAAGTACTGTGTCTGCTCTGTGATGCAGCTTTCCTTAAACATGGCATCTGGTATGTCATCTCCGCTAACTCCGCTAAAAATAACGGGTAGGTTTAATAGAGAATAACGCGAGTAAATGACAGTGAGAGTGGTGGGGTGAAAAAATCGTACTTACATTTACACAATCATAGCTTTTGCTGCTTACCTGCCTCCAGAAGGTTGGGGAACATGAGACCAAAGAAGAGCTGCTGGAGCAGAGACCTGGAAACGAGCAACATAGATGATGCCATCTTTAACTAATTCCACGTATAATAACAGCCACACATCTAGAGTAGATGAGGAGAAACAGTCATTCTTTTTTAAAAGCTGGTTACTTAGCAGTTGGACGGTCACTCACACAGCGACGCGACATAATGTTGCCGGCCAGCCGACTTATTCCTAAAGTAGATATGAACTCACCAGGCAGCACTGGAGGCCCACCAGCCAATACTGAGCATGTCGGCAATGGTGGGCTGGAAAGAGACGTCGCGTATAATAAATACAAAAAATGAAAACAATTGTCATCACAACATTTAAAATTGAGAATCAATGCAGTTTGCGTAACGTGTGACTTGATAAACGAGAGACGGAGTGGCTGCGGTCTGACAGCTTGTGGGAGGGAGTTTCTAACCACATAGACGGAGCGGGGTCCTGTTGCAGCCTTGCCGTCTTTCTCCGGGTCACAGATGGACTGGTAGTCGTAGGTCTTGTTGAACGAGTACAAGGAGGTGTTCACAAGGTTGATCATCAGTACAGGGTCCACCTCGCCAAAGAACTGACCTATCTAGAGGAGTTGCATGAGCAAGCAAAAGAAAAAGGTTGATACTGGCTTGAATGAGTTCATTCGCCATGAAAACATTCAGTCCATGTAAACAGACAACCGCCAACTCTTCCCTGTTCCAACCTCTACTCACGATGTAGACGGATATGGATGTATCGGAGTGTGGCTATGTTAAGTGTCATTAAATGATTAATGTTATGTTGCTATCAGTCTCGCAGTAGGTCTTGTGCCACATTGGATGGACGCTAAACCAACGGGCCAGTTTCAAGGTTAAGTCATTTTTTGAAGTCCTTCTGTGGGAACAGGTCACTGTAGTTACACAAGAAGAAACACCTGGAGGGGGATGGTCATGTTTGTGTAGAACCATTGTCATGGGATCAGTTAGATATTTAACCATTGTTTGTCACCGGCACCAACTAACCAAAAACTACATCCGCTAAATGTTTCGCACGGTGCCGATCGGACGGAATAAATGACCATGAACTGTGCGCCAGACGTTCTGATGGTAAAAAGGATCAAAGACGGCAGATGTCCTGTCGTGACTGACGTGTAAATTTTCCAGACCTACTGTTTGTCCGACCGGCATAGCGGCCCGAAAGAGAGGAGGTAACACAGAAGAGCTGACCTCCGGCCCACACAGGGGACGCACTTCACTTTGCCTGTCTAAAATCTATGAGGACGCTCCCTTTGATCCTCCTGGACAGGATGGTGCTTTACGTTTTACGTACGGCTTTCAGGACATTCTCATTACTTTGATGATTCATGAGCCCATTATTGACCTTTTGTGTGAGATTTATGGATGCCTGACAAAGGAGAGAGAGAGGAATGAGGAAAAGTTGAGAAAAGTAAGAATAAAAAATCCTAGAAAAATTGTTGACTGTGTCATAGCAGATTTTTCCATGTGATGATTTTTTTTAACATAATATTATACATTTATGGTACGGTGAAGTAAGTGTGACACTAACTAACCAGTGTGATGTACTCATCGTGGTTGACATGAGAAGAAATCCCCCATCATCCAAGATGACACAGTCTACATGCTGTAATGCAAAAAGATGAATATTTAAAAAATGCAATTAATACAATTGGAAAATGGAAAATAATCTTGTATTATTTCAAAAAGAGATACTAGTCAGGCCTGACTACATTTTTATATTGCAGGCAATATAAAAGCATATTTCTTCTGCAAAGTTACATTTTATAAACAGGGTCGTCTGCGCAGCCATGGCAACCGAATAACATCTTAGACAAGACAATAAACACAACATTCTCAAATGTGATTGAATAAACCGTTCTGCTCTACCTTGTCATTCCTCAGACAGCCACAAATCTCATCTTTACACGAAATATAAAAAAGTGAGTCAGACAGCAAATGACTGTTGTACCATCGACACATTCGTCAAAGACGGTCTAAACAGCACAAACGCGCCTTATTACACAACTTACATTCAGCTTCAGTGTAGCGTTCATAAAAATGCTCATCCAGAAGGAGACGTTGAGTTTCACTCCCACTACTAAAGAGAGCAAATCACAAAACAAGTTTAAGTTTCTCCATTGTACATTGCATCACAAGAAGCTTCACATCTGAGATTAGCGAGACTGACCAGCTGGTTTGATCGTGACTTCAGCGATTGTGAGTTCCACTGCTTTGCTGACTAGAATTCCTGACTCAGTGACCGACTCCCTGCCCTCTGCTGCAGTGCAGAAGGGATACAAAAGAGACGGTAAACAAAAACCATGGCAAATTCACCCAAGTCATGTTGAAATGAGCTTGGCATAGAACATTTCAAAAACGGGGCATCGTGTTGGTGCCCCGTTTCCATGTTGGGAAATCCACAGATTTTTAGCTGCTAGTAATTTATCTGAGTGGAATCTGTGAGGCCAGTACATGTGTTAATCCCGTCAAGTGTGGAGGAAAAGCACGGCCACATTACACCGACGTTGGCTCGGCCTAATGTCTGCTAGAGAGATCAGTGGAGATAACAGGAAGTACACAGCTGGGCGGAAAGGCAGGGGGAGAGGGGGAGAGTGGCTGAAAGACACAGCGGGAAAAGGAGAAGGATAAAGACAGTGGTATCGCAGGCCTGGGACCGCGACCTTTGCCAGCAGGACTGGGATGGCGTCCAAAGGCAGAGAGCAGGATAGGCCTCGTGCCAAAACCAAGATCTTCATACACGTGAGTGCACTGGCATCACATATTAAAACATTCAGGAATACTTACAGTTGAAAGATGGCGCCGTGAAAATGTAGATTTATTGTCCAGGGTCCTTTTGTAGAAGCTGGACTCATATGTCTCAGGATTCTCAGTCCACTCTTCCTCAGCACTAAAAACATTAATATAGTACATCATGTCGTATATGGACCATTATATCACAAAACCACAACGAAAATGTGATTTATCTGAACAATTTGTATTTTAATCTAAAGCCAAATGCTCGTCATTGGAATGCAAGCCACACCCATATGCAGTTGATGTATGTCAAGTCCAGATCCAGTAAAACCAATTACTGATAATATTTCAGGTTGTAAAGGAGGGTAGAACATATATTCATCTGCAGCTGGAATTTCATGTTTTGACCAAGTGGAACCCCCAAATGTAGTTGAGATAAAAGCAGCAGCAAGGAAATTGAGGAAAATTAGTTTCCTGCTGTTTGGCGGGGACGTGTGGATTTACCCGTATCCTGTGCTGGTTTGGCAAGCTACGGGACTTCAGCTTAAAGTTTTCTAATCTCTATATTCTGTAAAGTAACCCAGTGGAACGGTGAGTAAAGCAGCTAAAATGGGACGAATTTAAGAGCAGTACAGTCTGTCTGTACAGACAGAGTTTTCATTGCACACATTTACACCACCCGATATTTGGGCAAAGCATACCGTGCTGTTTCACAATGCCAGCACTAATGCTAGAAGTGAAACTGAGTAGAAGGAGGGTAAAACAGTACCTTCTCGGGTAGACTCTTGTTATTCCTCCATCCGTGGCTACAAATCTGGCCACTATTCCTTCCCTGAGAACATGGAAAAACAACAGCAATCTAAGACATAGGCATAAATAAACTGTGAGACCAACTTAACACAAATTGTTTTATGACCGGCTTCACTTGTTTCTATTCGTCCTAATAACCCATTAATGTCATTCTTTTTATTTTCTTTCATAAAAACAGCATGTCATGGCAGAGCTTAGAATAGTTCATGTCATCGTGTCTCGTTTTGAAAGCAGAGACAGAATGAAAAGGTAAATCCGTGACTGTGACATACAAGTGGTAAAGGGTAAGAGGTAAAAATAGCATGTTTGGCACTCACACTGTCTGCTCGTTCCAAAGTTTAACCAGTTCAGCTGTGAGACCTGCATCCAGTATTAGTCGATTCACCAGGACATATTACCTGTGGATTAAAGAGGGGATACATTTTACCTACAGCGAACAGTACAACACCACAATAACAGTGATTAGTGGAGAAATATGGCATGGAGCAATGGAGGAGGAGCAACGTTAGATGACCCATTAGATGACGACAAATCAAACAACATGAGTCATTGTGTAGCACGACGACGATAGTCGTCTAGGAAACGCAGTCCGACGGGCTGATGTCCCTCTGCTTGTACCACCATAATCAAATGACGAAATGAATACTTTGACCATCCGATGCCGACCTTGTGTTATCGCGGGGGGAAAATTACTGAAATGACTAACGGTAAAAACATGCGGTGCGTGTACGCATACGCAAAAAGCATCCACTTCTACCAAGCTGTGCAAATGCGCAAAGAGAAATAAAGATGAATGACTCACATGCATCTGGAGGCTGTTGTCAATGTACTGACTGAAGTCGAGGAGAAACTCTGTGTTGTTGAGTGACAACTTCAGCTCCTTGCAGTACTCCCTGACGGAACAGTATCGATACACACAAGTATCAGCCCCTTGTTGCTTCTCCCTAAGGAATGGAGTTTGATGGGATGCGTCAGGAGCACTTACCTCGGAGCAACGTAGGTGTAACCAAACTCATCAAACCTCTCCTGTTGTATGGTTCCATGGCTTTTGAAAAAAACAGAAATAATTGGGTTAGGTGGTTAAGATTGTGAATATCGGTTTTGAGCTTAAAGTGTGCTCTAAATTCTCATATTGGACAGATATTAGGTGATGGATCATGGTAGAGAGTGCACATTGTAAGGCATTGGAGAATGACTGAGTGAGAAGTACTTGCCTTCTTGGCCTGTTGACACCGCAGGGAGACAGAGATGAGGAGAAACGGTTGATTAAAAAAATGCAATCATTATCTGAATAAATTTCATCCCTTATAAAACAAGTTGACTTCAATGTAAATATTTGCTATATTACACATACAAATTATTACACATAAAATTACACATAAAACAATATTCATTGTCCATCTGTCCCTATAGGCAGGCAAGGTGTCTGTAAGTCCAATTTCTTTCCACACCATTCATTATTTTTCTTATTTTTGCTCTAACGTTTCTGTCAAAATCCCTTCAGACCCTGTATTACGTACTGCGTTCAATGCATTCATCACTTGTTCTTTATGGGATAAAAACATTTCCATCCATCACACACCACCAGCAATCCTCCATAATGTATTAGGAGGATAAGTGGCTGCAGGAACACCTGAGACAGATAGTATTGGGGGTCTGGCTCCAATGTTGAAACTCTCTACGGCTGCGATACTTTCTTTAACAGGCCTGTAAGCGTTCCGACGGCCTTCATGGCGCGGTGACAGACTCGTTATGGCGGAAAGGGAGTGATGCTGAGTTCGAAAACACAGTCAAACTCTCATCTACAGGAACAACAGAGCCATCAGCAGTTGATGCTTTTGGTGTCACATCGGAGTTGTAAAATACACTAATGCCAAATGGTCGATGGTGCTGATTGTGGTGTGTTTTTTCAAATGAGTCATCCACCTATGCATCTATACAGTGCAGAGACGTCCAATCCATGCCTTCATCCCTCCATCCATAATCATGCAAATATTTGAGGACAATCATGCTTATGGAAGAGCATCCCAAAGAGTGATGATCACAGAATACAGAGATAGTGAGTACTTGCCCCAAGAGAAGCTAAACGATCCCAGTGTGGATGCAAGCCAAGAGAAGATAATTTATATCAGAATACAAAGCAGTATAAAGAATTGTACAGTATCCTCGCGCTAATTACTTCAATTCTGAGCTATCGGAGACAAATGGAGGAAAAATATATTGATAAATGAGTTGAAGAAGAATAAAAAGGGGACGGAAAGGGATAGTAGGAGGAATAAAGAGAACGAGTTGAGGACAGATTAACCAATCATGTAGGAAAACAGAGACAGAGTGAGAAAAACATCCAGATATAAGTGTGTCTGTTACCCCATGAAACATTCAAGTATGGAAATAGAAAACATAGCGGAAAGTGCAGAGATGGAGAAAAAGAAAAGAAAGGAAGAGGCGGGTAATGAGATGGAAAGGATCAAGTCTAAAGGGCGACCGGGAGAGAGGGGGTGGGGGTGGGGGGGGGGGGGGGGGGGGGGGGGGTTAAGAACGAGGGGAAGTGCAAATTGCAGACAAGATCAAAAGAGCTGGTGCTTGGGCTGCAGTGTGTGGAACGGGGAAAGCGTGTGGATGAGAGTGTGTGGGAGCGCGGGGCAACTAACCGCTGGGTCACACACTACAAAAGGAAAAAGCTTCATGGGTGCCAATCTGAGCGGCAAAAAAACACAAAGGCAGCGCTTGTGGTTCCAGCTCGGAGTGAGTAATATCAAAGAAGGAGATACCCGAGACTACGACCTACGACAAGTAGGCATGGGAGGGGTTGTGAGGCACAAGCTACATAGATATGGCTGCTGAGTTTGACACAGGGGATGCGTGCTGTACTTACATATAGCGTTTTTCAAGTCGTCTCCCAGTTTGGCTGAATGAAGTGCTCACTGTATCTCGGTAGAGCCAGAGCCAGGCTGCAAACGTGACACGGTTACAAGAGTTTTGAGGTTGGAGATGTAAGGTCTGGTTTGTGTGAATGATGTCTGTCAGACAAACAAAAAAAGGTGATTCAAAGCCTGCAGTGTTTTCCAAAATATCCTTTGACTATCTTTAAAACAACCAATCAAGAGAAACACAACTTTTTTTTCTTTTTTTTCAGTGAACAGTAACAAAAATCTTTCAAATGCATTTTTTCGACAACGAAATACAGACTTTCTGTTAGAAACAAGAGAGTGACCTGTTTACTAAGTAGCGTCCAAATATTCTCTGTAGTTAGTGCCGCTGCCTTTAGTACAGCGACAGCTTAATGAACCATAAAGAAATATTACAAAATGACTGACGTTGCTCACCTGTAATCTGTCCATTGACCGGAGCGAACGTGTAGGTTCTGACGCCCCGATCTATGTACCGCTGCCAAAGAAGAAACCGGTAAGTGACATTCAACCACTGGCTCCAGAAACATAAAATGCAATACTACTTGTAAGTCCTTTGCAGTACTTAGTCCTACCTCATCCTGAGTTTTCACCAGTGTTCGATGGTCCGTTTGCCCGTCTCCCCGTCAATCATCATTCTCCTGGTCTATAGGGAGACATTTTAGAAACAGACAGCAGTTCAAGCATCCTTGTGTATGACTGAAAGAGGATCAGTATCATGGAAGACTTTCTGCCGTATAACTCATGATAACGAGTTAGGGACACAAAGTAAAATGCCTCTGTCCCTTCCTTGAGTGTGTGTGTGTGTGTGTGTGTGTGTGTGTCTAGAAAAATAATGCCATGCATATACACACTCTACCCCACTTTGAGATCATTCTCCAGCTCTGCATCGAGGAAGTCGAGGGTAACGGTTCCTGGAATTTAGGATTCTGTGGAAAGGATGATGTTGCAGTTTGTAAAGTGACGACATTTAGGAAACTTGGACACAGACAAACCCAAACCCCCAAAAAGGAACCCTATCGGCTCACACGGGGGGGGGGGGTTGGGTGGAAGCAAAGTTAATATTGTAATAACCCACTTTGTTTATAAAGCCAGCTGACTAGATGAGAATAAAACTATTATATTCAGTGGACCATTTAACAATTGTATTCAGAGATGGTTCTTCTTACTGTAGTGATCCGCCATTTTGAGTAATATGTTTGCATCTCAATACGGGGTTGCAGTGAATGAACAAACAAGTTGACTTTAGTGAAATTTTGTTTTGTTCTATGTTGAAGAAATGGCAAAACAGTTTCTTAAAACATAAACAAATCAAATCAATAGCATACAAATTAGAGGGTACCGTATGGCGGCTGTGACACCACAGCGCTGAATCAGACCTGATACAAAGTGACACTGGACCCTATTAATGTCTTCTCTTAAAAACCCACATGTCTGAGTGGCTTTATGACGCTTATTAAATGGTGGCAGGATCTAAATGCTCTCTAATAAAACAGCAGTACATGGAATCCAACACCAGCCTTTCCACTACAGCGGTTGTTCATTCTGTACTAGGCCTTCTGCCAGTTTCTTATTTTTATGTTGACATATGCAAAACACTGCGTCCGTAGATCAATACAAATGCATTCTAACTTCTAAAGGAAGACAGGGAATGACGTTGGATGTGAACATAACAGATAATAGTGTGAATCAGTGCATAGAAAAGAAAAGCAATGAACTAAAAACTAAATCCATCAAAAAACATCAATGAGTTCCTTACATTTGATGGCAGGTGAAATTAATTAAGCAGCAAAGGAAGATGAGGGACAAGCATCTCAACATGAACTGAGAAAAGAAAGAATAAAAAGATGAAAAGGTAAACATTGAATGAAACAATACAAGTAAAACAGATATAAAAAAAACAGAGAAAAAGCACAAAAACCTATGATAAATAAGTGATGAGGAACAAAAGTAGTGACTCACTCTACATAGAGTGAGTTTTGGTGGAGCAAAAGAATAAAAATTCTACTGTAACGAAGGAGTTTATGTGAAATACATACAAACATAATCTAATAGAGAAAGTGTCACTGCAGAGGCAGAGACGGTCAAGGAATATGTTCAAAGGGCTGAACGACTTGATCTCCCATTCAGTGGATTCAATGAAATGATGCATGACTGACAGGCTCAAAATGTCACAAACAGACCAATTGAATCCTTTCCATCAAGGAAAGCCATCTTTGTCTTTGAATAAAGTTTATATTTTAAATATTAATCACAAAAGTATTGCCCTTAGCTGCAGGTCGCTCCTCACAAGGAACTGATTGGTCTTGAGTCTGAGAAGATTTATTTTCGTCTGATATGTAACCGCGCAATTCTGGCATGATCGCGTGCTCTCTGTAGCATTCCTAATATTATATTTAATTTCTGCCAATAAAACTTGAACCATTTCTATTTGAGGGTCATATTTTGTGTCATCCAATGTTAGACTCTATACTACAGCAACTTCCCCCCGGTATGTTCTATCGATCTGACAGTAAAACACTCACACAAACATGTGGGCATACAGCAAAACATACAGACACATTAGTAATTAACGATAAAATGTTTATGACCAGAGCGATCATTACAAGCTACACAAGAATGTTCCCACAAAGGATTTATTATGGCCAGCAAAAATGTAATTATTAGCTACAATTACTGCTACTACACGTACAGAGAATTAGGAGGGAAAGGCTACGGGTCGACGATACAAAAGAACATAATTTAATGCTAGACCTAGACCTGTTGAGTGATGCGTAGGCTCGGGCACCGTACATTTGGCAGAAGATTGGGGTGAAGCAGGACATATCCATTGGGATCAATGGCAAAATAGTACCCATTTGGACCAATCTGAGGCAGAAAACAATTAATGTCTAGTGGAATCATATCACGTTCTAATTTACGAAGGGGAAACCTGGCCAGTCACAAGAGATTTTTTAGCTGTATTTATCTGCATGCACGTGACTCACTGTGAAGCGTGGAGTGAGCTTCTTGATGTCATTCAGAGACACGTCAATTCCCATTACGCCAAGAATCATTGATTCTGGTGTTAAGCGACAGAATGAAAAAAAAAAAGATCAGTAACAGGAAAAATACACCATCCACTCCCACTGACACCACTTATTCATGCGTTCATGCATTTATTTAATGCACCTCGCCATTTCTGTCATCTATGGTCCTTTGTCTTATTGAAGACAGGTAATGTTCCAGTGATAACCAGACCGAGTTCCTGATGGAGAGTCAAGCAAATGCACTGTTCAAGCCAGGAATCTTTTCAAGTTAAACAAACATGGCACAAACCATATTTCCATGTAATGAATTGGAGAACACAAAACGGTACAGAGCATCAAGGTATACGTTAGTCCACTGGACTTGTTTGGCCTGCTTGTCTGCCAAAACCATCGGTCTTCCCAGGACATCTAGGTACTCCTAAAATGGACAACACATTTCCCCTAATCAATGCTT